ACTATTTAATGAGCGCTCCTTCGGGAGCCTCGCAACGGTCAGTGCCACTTGGCACGCTCACAGTCATTCGCCACATATCGCGCTCTGAACGCTCCCTTCGGATTTTATTTTTTTGATTTTTACGCACGCGTTTTCGGCTTTTAAAAGGTTTTTTTTTGACGTTTTGGTTTTCTACCGGTCTTCCCTAGCTTTTCGACCAAATTTTTTTCGAAAAAAAATAATTTTTTTGCGCAAAAAAATGCATTTTTTCGCGAGAGGCACGGTTTTGCTTCCGCAAGAGGCACGGTTGTGCTTTCGCGAGAGGCACGGGCGTGCCTCTTTTGGAAAGGGAAAAAACGCGTTTTCTGTTTTTTTTCTTTGCGAGAGGCACGGTTTTGCTTCCACCAGAGGCACGGGCATGCCTCTTTTGGAAAGGGAAAAAACGCGTTTTCTGTTTTTTTTTCGCGAGAGGCACGGTTTTGCTTTCGCCAGAGGCACGGTTGTGCTTTCGCGACAGGCATGGGCGTGCCTCTTTCGGAAAAGGAAAAAATCGCGTTTTTTAATTTTTTTTTCTTTCGCGAGAGGCACGTTTTGCTTCCGCCAGAGGCACGGGCGTGCCTCTTTCGGAAAGGAAAAAAACCCGTGTTTCCGGTTCGGTTTTTTCGTCCGGTTTTTCGGTGAAAACAAAGTTCGTCAAAACCTATCAACATGAGATCTAGTTTTGAAGATCTCGACGCGAGGAATCCAATGGCGAAAGCGGTTCGAGATTTGGACGCACGGTTTAAGAGATAAAACATTTTGAATAAACGGATCTACGAAAAAAGGGAAAACTCCCAGGTTGTGACAAGTGGCGCACATGCAGCGCGCCACTTGTCGCAACCTGGGGGAGTTGGAGTGATCTCCGCAAGGAGTACTCCTTAATTAGTGATTTCGAAAATAATTAGACACCTCCATGCTTGAAAAGGCCAGGGGTTTTGGAAGGAAAATGTCAGAGATAAAAATATATATGGAGTCCTGGATTTATGCAGGATTTGAATAAAGTGCTCTGGCATTTTTAGAAGGCAGAAAAATAATTAGAGTTTGAATTATTCTCAAACTTCAATCGTTTTTGAACCTGACCCAAACAACTTCCAATGGGATGAAATCTGACAGAGAGGGTGTAGGCAAGAGGCAAGATTTATAGGGAAAGAAAGAACATTAAAGGAGAAGGGAGAAATGGCACTTGCAAAAAGAAAGGAAGGAGAAGGAAGGGAGAGGTGATGATGCATGGGCATGGTTTGAGAGAGAGATGACAAGGAATAATGCTCACACACATCATAACAACAACACACCACATAAGGATGAATGAAATGCACATGGCAACAACATGATGATTACCACAACGTATATGATTAGCATGCAAAATGACAAGAGGCAATGCAATATGACAAGAGATAGGCATGGCAAAGCAAACAAGGATGGCATAATGCAATATAATAAAAGATGAACATGCTAAAAGAAGCAAAATATGACAAGGCACTCAACATGGTCATGGCATCAACATAGAGGAATGAAATATGCAAAATAATTATGATAATGCAACAAACAAAATAAACACACGACAACAACGAAAAATAAATGGAAGGCAACTCGAGCATCGGTCTCGCTGTTGAGTCAATTCAGAAGTAATTATAACTATGAATTTTGACAACTAATGTATTTTGTTTACATGACACTATGATAGTAAAGAGGAAACACATTTATTTAACATCAAAGTGGTAAATCACTTGTTACCACTATAAACCTGAAAATATCAATTCTTGAAGTTACTCTCAAAAGTCAAAAAGTAACACTTATTACTTACTCTCATAACAAAAGAAGTCCTATGACTACAAAATAATTCTTGTAGTTTATTCTTTCATAGTATACGCTGACAGGATTATAGTTGCCACCACTCATGCATCACAGTGCCAGGAGTCCTATAAAATAGCAGGAATATCACTATTTTTGAACATCGATAGCACAAATACGTAGAAAGAAAATAATCTAAATCCCTGGCATTAAAGTGGCAATAATATAGGAGACTTCTGATTTCTAGTAGAACTTGCAGTAATCACACATGGAATATTTCTACGAAAACGCACATAGATGAAGTACTCCAGAGATAAACAATTGGCCAACATATAGAAGAAAATAGTAGTACATCAGAAAACTGAAGTAAGCACACACCTGAACAGAGAAAGCGATGTGACACTGAATTTTCTTGCTATCGCCGCGCCATTGCAAGCATGCACATCCACCATGTTGTGGAGCAAATTGAACCAAATTCAAAACTCACCCGTAGATGCATCATGAACCTGAGCATTTGAATCTTTTGTCCGTGCTGTAATGACAAACCAGAAGTTATAGAAGCAAGAATATAAGGAATCACTCAGACCCAAAAGGAGGCAGGCCGTCCAGCGTGGTGGAGGTGAGGTCCAGCGGGTGAGGCGCGGCGAGATGGGGCCTTGTACGCGGATGGAGAGGCGACGACAATTCAGGGCTGAAAGTTGCGGCACGTCGGGTGATGCAGTGGGCGACGACACGCTGGTGCCTCAAAGAAGGCACAACTCCTCGCACCTCCCCGACGGCGGCCTCGCGCGTTCCGGCTGCGGCGTCTCTCTAGCAGTGGCAGGTTGCTTGCACGCTCTTGGGGATTTTCTCCCTTTTGTGGTGGATGTGATGGAGGCTTTCTATGGGGGATAGATTTAGTTGAGAGGTGGGCGCTAATTAAGAGAGAGAGGTTAACCGGAGGCAGTTCGGATGGCATGTCTTGCGTGATTTCAGGGGTTGCCGCTGCGGGGCGTGGGATGATTTCCTCCGCGGTGAAGTACGGTCAGTCAACGTAAATTACTAAATGCAAACAGAGAACGGGATAGATTAAGGCTAACCGTTATATCGAGTTTAGTGGGGCTAATCTTGTGATGCTAATTCGTCCACGTACAATTTATGGGGTGCGTTTAGAAGAGTTCATGTTTGCTCTTTTATTAGTGTAGATGTAGATTTACTTTTGAAGATTCAAGGGTGGAAGAATCTGAATAATACATCCAACGACTGTGATAAGCAAGTTTCATGGATTGCCTCTTATAGACTGGATACATGCAATATTGTTGTTCCATAGTAGTTCGTTGATTGATCAAAACAAAATTAGTTAACAAAAATATGTAGTACGATGCCATCTTTATTTATCCTTCTTATAACTTAGGTGAATGGAGTGTTTTCCCTTAGTTAATCTGAGGTCGACAAAGTAATGGCAAATAGATTTATAGTATCAATTTATGTATAGAATGTCTAATGTAATGAAATTTTAGTACCTTTTCAGTTTCATTCAAGTTCCATGGGATCTTTGACTAATTTGTTTGAGAACTTTTTACCGTTGGAAGTTGGGTCCACTTTATTTATTGCATGACCAAAAAATGCATAATTGGTTTTGAATAAGGCAGACTACTTGTGTAGGTTGTCTCCTCAAGAGTTACATTTTGTTTGATTATCACATCTGATGGTTGAGTACTAGAAGAAAATTACCTCTTATGCATGAGGTGTTCTCTAAGCCGGTCGATGATGTCTTGTAGCTCGTGAGCATGGGGCGGATCCCCCATCCCAAGCTTTAGTTGTAAACCAGTGAGAAGGATTTTCACATATGATCTTTGGGGACTGAGACAAATGCCTTACAATTAAATTTCCCCCCAATCTCATCATACACTTGTTTGGCAAGCGTAGTTTTACCCAAACCTGACCCCATGAGGCAACCACTTTGAGTTTCTTCTTAGAATCTGCCAACATATTGACAAGCTCTTCTCTTTGGCCATCGACACCAACAAGGCTCGACTGCCTCCTTGTAGATCGTCAACATCTGGGAATCCAAACCACAATGCATACTTAAATTGATACACTAATCAATCGTGTATCTCTCGTGTCGAGCATTTGCCTCTACCACGAGAAATTTGAGCTCCTTGGTCCGGTTGGCAATCTCATGTCAGATTTGAACCTCCTGAGGCGCCGAGCCATCTTCTTTACAAGCATGCCTTTACATGGGCACCTGCTTCAATGTCACGCATCAAGTCATCGATTCAGCTCTCCATATCAAGACACCTCCTTGACACGGTCCCGCCAGTTTTTTGCTGACGGAACAAGCTTATCAAATAGCTACATCATGTCAAGGGAGCTTTCATGGCGCCGAGCTCATCTTTAAGGAAGGAGGTCTGCTTCCTCACACCGTGAGCTTCTTGTACTCCTCGCTGAGTAGCTTGGTAAGCTTGTCGAGGAGCAGGTCCATCACCCCTGTCATCACACTCGCTCCCATCTTGATCAAGTTTAGTTCTCTTCACGTGTAGCCTCGGAACCAGAGAGAGGCAGTGGAGGGCAATGTCACCAAGCCAATAAACATGACGCCAAAGGAAACCTAGGATGAAAGGTCAACAACCAACGACGGAGCTACATGTAGTTCTGAGGGGGGGGGGGGCACTGCCCCCCTATAGCCCTAGCATATTTAGTGAAGCAAAACATTTATAGATGCTTGAAGTGCTCTCTAAGCCGGTAAATGATGTCTTGTAGCTCGTGAGAGCATGGGAAGAATCCTCCATCCCAAGATTTAATTGTAAGCCAGTGAGAAGGCTCTTCACATCTGGTCTTTGGGAGACTAAGACAAATGCCTTACAGTTAAGTTGCCCCCAATCTCATCATACACTTATTTGGCAAGCGTAGCTTTACCCAAACCTCCAAACCCCATGATGGAAACCACTTTGAGTTTCTCGAGAGAATATGTCAACAAACTGACAAGCTATTCTCTTAGGCCATCAACACTAACACAGCCCCGTTGCCTCCTTGTCGACCGTCGACATCCAGGAATCCAAACCACACTATAAGACTCAAATCGATGCACTCCTCAATCTTGTATCTCCCGCGCTGAGCATTTACCTCCACCATGAGAACTTTGAGCTCCTCGATCTAGTTGGCAATCTGATGTTGTATCCCCAAACTTCTAAGACACCGAGCCATCTTATTTACAAAGCCCCATTTGTGTAGGCCCATGTTTCAGTGTCACGCATCAAGTCGTTAATGTAGTTCTCCATATGTGGACATCTCACTGACATGGTCCCTCCATTTTTTGCCGAGGGATCAAGCTTATCCATTACATCGATCTTCTCAAGGAGAGATTTCATGGAGTCGTGCTCATTTTTGAGGAAGGAGGCCTGCTTCCTGACCCCCTAAGCTTCTTGTATTCCTCGATGAGTAGCTTGGTGAGCTCGCCCAGGAGCGGGTTCATCAGTCCCTTCATCACACTCGCTCACATCTCGATGAAGTTTAGTTCCCTTCATGTGTCTCGCCTCGGAACTAGAGAGGGGGTGGAGGGCAATGCAACCAAGTGAAGAAACTCGACGCCAAAGGGAATCTAGTATAAAAGGTCAACAACCAAAG